ATTTCAAAATAAGGGTAATTTAAATTAAACAAGCGAACAAAAGGTTTTCATTCTTCTTCTCGTGCTCTCCAAGTACTTCACAAAAATTACGTGATTTTGAATAAATTAGTTTTTTTCCAACACCTAGAATCAAAACGTTACAGCTTCTTTCACAAAAATAAATTATATTATAAAAGTCAACTTAAATTTTGACAAACATTTAATAAGAGCATAGAGGCGAATAGAGATCTGAAATCTGAATCAGAGCATATAAATCTGAAGAATAAATTCGAAATAACTTTTTCAAATATATGTGCAACCTAGCCTGAAAAGCTATATTGTATTTGCTCAATTTATCGACATTGCGTTCATCTTTATCTATGAAAACAAACTTTGAAGCTTACGACTCTCACCCTCATATGCACGGTTCCATCATGCATCCTGTTCATTTATTCGTATTGACTGCCAGCAAATCAGGTATAAATCCGCAAAAATTTGATAGATATCGGCAATATCAATCCCTTAAGTACCGAATTAATAATTCAAAAAGGGTGTAAATAACAGAAAGTTACAACCGTAAGCCGGTTGCGCCATAAATAAGAGTTAGTAACAGCGCGCTCCCCAACATTGAAATTCACCGGGGCGCTTGTGACTCACTATAGAACCGAAGAGGGGTCTTAATGGTTTCCCTCTTTTGCATGAAATAGTAGAACAATAATATTGACAATGGTTTCTTTACGGGAGCATTTCGAGTACGTAAGCGAGGAATCAGACCGTTTTCATTATATGCAAAACAGACTATGTGACAATAGAACTCATGAAGTGAGCACATGAGTAATGTCTATTTGAATGTTTTTCTCTGAGTACTTTTGCTCGCTTTTACTTGCCAGGAGTTGAAAAGGTCAGTAAAATCTGCACCTATTAATGAATGGTCTGGACAATTATTAGATTTATGAAATAATATTAGATTACCAAATTTTATCATAATTTTTTTTGGTAACACAACATGTACATTCAGGTAAAACGATTATACAATTTTAATACTTCCGGTTGTACGCGAATTTTATACTGGCGAGGAAGGAAATGTATTGAAATTGTAACTTTTTTTAAATTTAATCGGAGCTCTAAACTGTATTTTTATGGCGTTAGCAAAAAACTTCCACAGTTTAAGTACTCGTTCAATATAACAGTTTGTATAGTGATTTTTATCTGTAGTTAGTAGTAGTTCTGTATTCTGTACCTTGATATAAGTATGTAAATTATTATTCCGAACATTTTCATGTACTTAAGTACCTAATGCTTCACAAGTATTTAATGCAGTTTCAATTAACTCAAGAGAAATTTCAGTTTCAATTAATTCAGGAGAGAAAGAAATACATATTTGCTATTTTTTTTCACAATTCAATCCTTTTTTTTAGCTCTGTTCAATATTCACAGAAATTTTAAATGCTTTTGGCTCATCAACACTTATTTTCCTGCGCTCTTTTTAGTTCAGTTTCCTTTTGTGTAGTTTCTGAAAAGCGCCTGTTTAGTTTATTATTTTACATTAGTTAGAAAAAAAAACAGAAATTAAAAACTAAAAATGTTTCTCAATTTTAACGCTCCTTAAAATAAAACGCGTTATTTAATGAAAGTTGTGTTGTGTTCTGTAAAATATGTACAATCTAATTAAAATCGACTGGCAAATTAAGAATATTCACGAATTAGCGTTCAACCATGGCTCCCTTTTCCATAAAAATAATGTATTTAATTCATTTTTATTAAAATCACATATTTGTCAGGACATAGTGGGCTACGAATTTATAAATAAATTACTACCATCTAGTCAATCTATAATTGCAATGGACAAACTAATGGGTATTTAAAATAAATTATTGTCACAAAAATTGACCAGGTTATCGTTCGTTTCAATTAATCATTTCAAAATGTTTAAGAGATAGTTTTCATCCCTCAGAAATCCCAAATCAAAGCTTGTTATATAGAGTAGAAAACACAACTAAAAGACAACTCGACAACGTCTTTAAATATTTTCAATTACAAAAAGTTATCCATAAAAAGTAAAATTTTTGGCAGAAATTTTCAAATTTTTACAGAGCTGTTTAAAACAGTATTTTAGTAAGCACATAAGTACTGGAGATCAAGTTAAAGTCAAATGAAGTCATGAAATTTTTAAATCAATTACCGTTAAAAATTCTGCCCAAGTTGTGGTTCGTTTCGTAGAAAGATAATATATTCGTTTCAATTCATCATTTCAAAATGATTAATTGATAGTGTTAAGTACTCCTAAAAAGAATAATTTTTGGTCCAAATTTTCAATTTTTTCTTTAACTGTTTTAAAAGTACTTTATAAAGCACATTCTCCCCATCTAGTTAGTCATACTGCAATGGAAGTAGCGAACAACTAATGAACTTTTTAATCAGATATTATCAAAAAACTGCCCCGATTATCATTTGCTTCGTAGAAAAGTAATTTATTCGTTTTAATTCGTGATTTGGAAATGTTTAATCGATAATTCTCGTTTCTTAGAAATCCTAAAGCACCAAATATAGAGTGGAATTCCTTCACGACAACGTTGGTAAATCTTTTCGATGGTATAAAATTACCCATAAAAAACCATTGTTGACCAAAATTTTCAACTTTTATAGAACTGTTTTAAAAGTACGTATATTATAAAGCACATTCTAGAGATCTGGTCGTCCTCTGGCTACCTTATAAGAGCACTCATATAGAAGCTTTTCGCATTGAAAAACCAACCAAGCAAACTACAAACATTAATTCATATAAAGATATCTGATGGCTGACTCAGACACTAAACATTTTAAAAACAGTTTTATCATGTGTGTAGGGTAAAATATTAATCAGTGATATGAATATAAAAATCATTGACAGATCCAAGCACGAAGTGATACTTCAGGCTTCTTAACTTTAAAGGAGACCTACCTATATTCACTTTGCGTGTCATGAAATAATTTTCAGTGAAAAATACCCATTGTTATATTTTTATTATCCGATTCCGGTTGAATTAGGTCAATTGCTGATTAATGAGAGTTCTGGAAAATTGTTATCGCAAATGAACTTTAGATTTTATTTGATGATTTCTTCCATTTATTTAGTGTGTATCAGTGCCCAAACGATCTAAGGACACTTGAAACTTAAAATATCGAATAAGGGTTTAAATATTTTTGAAACTCTAAGTCTAAGGACGAAGATAAGGGTAGTCAGTACTTTAATCCATTGTATAGAGGATGTTCTATAAATATACCGGAATCTTTTACAAATAGTAGGCACATTAAGACAACCATCGTCGCGTCGTAAACATAATCCCAAAAACGTGTTGAAATGAAATGAGTAATGGTATTCAATTTTCTCGTTCGGGATTTTACAGTTTTCAAGATATTTATCTCAAATTTTGTAAGCCCTATGTAACGATTTTGTTATCTCGTCTCGCCTTGTTATCACATCATTTTTTTGTAATATCTTCTGAACTCCAACAACATGGTCACAAATTCCTTATTCGGTTTACAAACTTTCCTTTATCTTTTATTTCTTTCGTATCTGTCAACGTTTTGGAGTTGCTGCCAAATTAATTAGTTAGTGCATACATCACAGTGTAACATTTAGAATTTTCTTATTTTTAAATCAAATTGCTTTCATTATTATTTACATATATATATTTAAAAGACTTACTTTATCTTAATGAACAATGTATTTTTATAATTTGTAAACCTAATATACGAGTATTAAATTATACTTGACTTGCCATAGCTTATAAACGTTCCCTGAAAGTTTTTTGTTTTCATATATTTTTTATAAAACTTGTTATTGTACTTTTATAAAGATAATTTCCAACAATATAAATTTCTTTCACGAACTGAAACTAAATTTCTTTCCCCAACTGAAACTAAATTTCTTTCACCAAACTTTCTTTAATATTTTGCCAAGACACCTGATCACCTAAGCTTCATATCAAATAAAATTCGACGACGATTCATCGATGAGATCAAAAGTTATTTGATTTTTAAACAATAAAAACGAAAATGTGCCACTGTGCGCCGCTAGTTTGTAAGTATAATTTTGGAACTCCCTGTTTATATATGCAACAAATGTGTTAAATTTTAGGACAGACCCAGTATAATTTCACTGCCTCAATATTTGAAGTGCACAAACGCTACAAAGAAAAAAATGTGAATTTTACTATAAAAATTAGAATGCGCAGATCCAGATTGAAGTATTATTCACAATGGCAATAATTTAAAAAATAGTGAAAGTTAAAATATCACTAAAAACTTTCTAGAATAAATCGAGGTAACATTTTTACTGCTAAATAAATAGCACACGTAGCATAAAAGTAAAGACGGCGTAATAAGTTGTTACAAATAGAATAAGTAGAATATAAATAACGGGACAAAATAAAAGGATAACAGAGATTTGAATAGCGGAGCTTTCCCCATCCATCATATTGATGGATAAGTAATTCTGCAGAAAATCCCACCCGATTGATGCTTATGATCAAATTTCATCCAATATACTTAGTTATTGATGTTTCTTCTAACGAAGTTCCTCACTCCAAACAAGCTTTTTTTATTCCATCGCGATTTACTCTTTATAAATATAATTTATTTAAGTCTAATATTTGGTATATGTATATCCCTAGAATAGCAACAAATTCTTTTAAAATTACTGTAGACATTTCTGTTTAGCAGCAGTAGAGCAATACGTATCTATTATGAAAAAACATTTTGGTCTGATTCAATCATTTTTTTTTCATAATAGATAAGAAATTTGAAAGAATATGTTTAAAATAGAGAAAGTGGACAAATCTCGCGCATTTGAAGAACCACCAAAGCAGAAATTCACCGGACACATTGTCAAAAACTCGGATATTGTATTTGTTTACTAATTAACAAATCCTACATTTTCCTACAAATAAAAAATATTTGAAAAACAGTGTGATTAATAGAAAAATATTCCACATAAACATATTTAAAACATTTAAACATCACATTGCGGTACGACTTACCATATTAAATGTGTAGTAAATAGGAAAGCTCCAGGAACAACCAAGTCATCAGATCCGACACTCCAACGTCTCCTGAACACAATTAATCCAGGCATTTTCGAGAAAATGTTCAACTTTGTATATTCAAGTCATTTGTACCGAACACTACAACTGCACTACCTCAACACTAAGCAATTTCAAGTGCACCAAACGAGGACAAATCTGCGTTATGAATAACATTTTGCAAATTGAATGTTCAACTATTTGTTTGGGAAATACTTCTTATCAGTCACTAGTCTAAACATCGTTTTGGAGTCAACTACAGGCTACCTATATGTAGTTTTTTAATTGAAGCTCGGTGTTGTTTGTGTAGTCATCAGTTTCCAAGAATTTGCAAGGCTTATCACAAAAGGTATCTGAAACGAAAAAAACACTTTGATGTAGCTTTACATTTATTACTAATTAATATGATTCAATAATAAAAAAATATAAAAATAATTTGACAATAATTAATAATATGATGTATTTAAAAAACCGATTAATTTTTTACAATCGTTTTATTATAGGGGTGGGCAATAATTCGATCGCGAGGCGAATTTTGGTCGATCACATATAAAACTAAATTTAAAATAATTCAAAATAATCTGATTCATTTTTCAAATATGGCTAGTAACCTACCGAAACATAAAAATATGAATTATAAGATCGACTCATACGTGGCAAAATTAATCTAAAATTACGAGTTTGAAGACGATTTTGAAGTAAGATTCCAGAGAGTTTTATAAAACCTAAAGTAATTGTGAAATTTCAATTTTTTCTTTTTAACTGTGGACGGCATAGCCAAAAATGTTAGACATATTTATCATGGATCAAACGGCATTAGAAAATGATATTATAATTTTACCAACTGACTTACTGTTACACAACAGAAGATTTTTTTAAATATCTCAACTGAGAAAACTATTCCAGTGCCACCAAATGCAAATATATCAATTTTTGTCTTGGATCGACATACCTATGCGAATCGGAATTTTTATACTAGAAAGCTAAGGAAGACTAAACTACTTTCTCTCTCTTCTGACTCATACCCATACTAAAGACTCATTATTGTTATCCTAGTCGATCACTTAATTATGATTCATCGGTTGCAAACATGCAAACTAGTCTTCTCAGGCAACAAAGTAAATTCTAGCTTTATCTGTAGCTACTTTGAATTAATAAATATTATTAATATTTATGCATTTCAGTACGAGTCATATTATTATTTCATGATCAGTTTTCCAGGCCCAGCCCAAAAACGGGAAAATTAAATATTGAAATCAAATTATCAAAGAAAAAACAATAAAATTTATACATAGAAGTGGATACAAAAATTAAATTGCATTTTACGAAAATGGTGATTTTTATGACTTAAAAAAATGATATATGAGTTGAACGTATATTTTCCATTATTCATTTCTCGTTATTTCCTCGTTCCCCGATATTTATTATTTATTCTAATACACAGTGTTTCCGAATACACTGTCACATCCCTTCTTCCTAAGATAAAAAGTGGATTTTATATACATAAAAGTGACCATCGCAGGTTTAGATATAGAACAATAAATAGCAGAAATGATATTGTATGTTAATATTTACTGAGATGGAGCCTGATTTGGTAGCAGCAATCCAAATGTTTATTTTGCGTTCAAAATGTGATCCTTTAATGACGAGTATTCATTGCCTGGCTTAGAAACAATAAACTAGACTGTTGGTAGAAGATAACCGACTGCATGTTTTTATTGTTAAATTCCAACGTTAGTTTCCGAGAATAAAATGATAAATAAATAAATTCCCATCCGGTTTGACCACAGAGAGCTTCATTTAGCAGATCTGTTTAAAATTAGTCACTTTAATGATGAGGTTATTTCAGATTTTTTTAACACTAGCAAGATAGCAAATGCGTCGCTCTTTGCTTCTATATATGTACAGAGGGTGTAACAAATTAAGTGCGCACAATTGCCTGGAAATATCTATAAGCAAGATTATGTGGATCCAATCTCTAATTAGTTTAAAAACTAACTCAACATTCGCAACCATTTCATAAATTTCATATTAAAATATTGTAATTTTCCCAAGAATAATTGACGGCTTTTAACAATGTTTAACAAAGGCTTTTGAAACATCTTTTCTAGGGCCATTGAACACGATCCAAATAATAATACAAATAATAAAGCAATTTCACTGGATCCCCGTTCAAACACAATCAAAAACCGATTATTGCAAAATAGCCCCGCATTTCAATTCATTCAAAAGAATTTCCCGATTTTAACCACGAATAGGCAAACAAAGAAAAAAGCGCAATGGCATAATGCGAGGAATTGCTCCCTACTTCAGCAATGCCTTTTTATTTATGTCTTTGGGCAATATTGCTTCTCCCTAAAACCAATTAAAATATTTGAGCACCCTCTTGTTGGTCAGTAAAATGATGCCATTCGTAGGGATGAGGAAATGCTTCGTGATGGGGGACGTAAATGTAAACGATTTAGCTTTGACGGAATATATTTCTCCTCTCAGGATTAAACAGCAGCAGAGATAATGTAATCAATTTAGGTTATTAATATTTTCGGGTGCAACGTTTTTTAAGAAAAAAATTATTGTTTTCAAGTGCATTTATAATTTCTGTATCTATAATTATTCTTTATAATTTTTCAACGTGCATCTTAAAGGGTGTTAGATAATGCTAGAATTGAAATACCTAATTCGAGTAGCATTCGGAAAATCAAGTCTTGCGTAAATGAAAGAGCAATCAAAATGAGTACAATATGAATGAGTTATGAATAATTATGAATGAATGAATATATTATGTCGCATCTGAACTTTAACACTTCAAATATATTTTTTTCCAAATCATGATAACCTTGTAGTATAACGGGTGTTTCACTAAGATTGGCTCTAGAGCATGTCTCCTTCTAATTAACATACAGATGGCTGAAAGTTGTTCTGATTTACCAGACAAAAATCCTGGAAATTGTCCAGAAACAGGCCGATACTTCGCTGCAAGTAGACGCAGATTAAAAGAAAATAATTACCTTTACATGCCCTGCCTGAGTTAAAAGTTTCAACTTTATGAGCCTCTCAGTTTCGAAAGTAGGAATTTTTATTCAAGAGCTTGCAGATTTTCAAATTAAATACCGCCAATAAATTTTAATTTTTATAAAAATTATTAGGGATCTATAAAAGCATAGCTTACCGCCTTAAATGCAGACTTATTTTCTGTTTGGTTTAAAAGCTTCAACTTTCCGATACTCCCAGTTTGGAAAGTAGGAATTTTTATTAAAGAACTTGCAGATTTCCGAATCAAAAACCGCCAATCACTTTTAATTTTGTGAAAAAACATTAGAGCTCTCTACAAAAGCGCAACTCACCGGCTTCAAAAACAGACTTATGCTTTGTTTGGGGTCAAATTCTCAACTTTCTGAGACCCCCAGTTTGGAAAATTTGAATTTTTATTTAACAAGTTGCAGATTTCCAAGTAAAAACAACACCAAGAAATTTTATTTTTTTTGGCTCTATAAAAGCGCAACTCACCGGCCTTAAAGACAAACTTATGCTCTGCTTCGAATAAAAGTTTCAACTTTATAAGCGTCTCAGTTTATAAACTAGGAATTTTCATTCAAGAGCCTGCAGATTTCCAAGTCAAAAACTTCCAATATTTTTTTTTAAATCATTAGGGCTCTCTATAAAAGCGCAACACACCAGCCTTCAAGCCATGCTTATGATCTGCTTGGAATAAAAGCTTCAACTTTATGAGCCTCTCAGTGTGCAAACTAGGAATTTTTATTCAGGAGCTAGCATATTTCTAAGACAACCGCCAGGGTGCTAAGTAGGTTAATAACTAACGCTTTTAACTAAATAATAATTTTAACATAATTAACGCTTTTAACTAAATAATATCAAATACATTTTATCTTCAGTTTGCGTTTATTTCTCGAATATATTAGCGTTTAAAGATTCAATTTCAACTTTGCTAATAAACAGTATTTTCAGTAGTTTCTCTTTAAAAAATGACGATTTTGTTTTTTATTATGAAGAAGCACAGTGGCATCCATGTATTTAGACCGATATCTGTTAATGTTAATTTTCGGTTAGTTTTTAAATTGTGCTCTTCAAAACTTAAAATTTATAATCAATGCGAAATTGATCAAGCTTTTCTAGAGACTCTAAATCAGTCAAATCCTCGACGAGTAAATAGATTCTGGGAAGAAAGTGAAATTTTCCGACGAGTCACAGTTAACCCAACATGTGTAAAGTAATAGTCTATTTTCTTTAGCATTAGACTGTACTATCAGATGAAACCTTCTCATAATCCATTAAAACTACTACTCGTCCAGTTATTTTTTAAAGTTATCTTGAGTTCAAGTTATTTAAAGGTCTGTGATAAAATGTGCATCTATGTGATAAAACTCGTGTCATGAGTGTACGCATTGAAGTATAGATTTCTACATCAGGGTTTCGGAAACACAATTGAAAAGAGAAATTTTAAAACATTGATTGTTTTCTCAAATGCAGTGGGTGACGAGTTTACAGAAATTTACGTAAAGTTAATGAAAAAACGGCACCTGCCAATGCAAAGCAAGTATATTGTTACCAATCGTGCCGTTTAGTTTCTTGAGAAAATTTCAGTCTTTAGTAACACATTTTTTTGTTCATTAATTTTCATTCAGACAAGACCTTCAGAGGAATCACGACAATTTTACAGCACCCTGTATATTACAAATGTAAAACCTCACATTAAACGGTACACCTGGTATGTTGAATAAAACTGTTCTGAAGTATGTTCATTTAAATCGCTGTACCTTTTCACTGGCGATTTGATTTTACGCGAATTTATATTGATCAACAGACAGATAAGTACAGTTGTATGGAATTACTGTATGGATCTAAACACGAAAGTACGTAAGGAAATCCATACAAAAAGCAAATTGACAAAAAATTGTTTTGATTTATACCTATATATATATTTTTTTTATAAAACTTAAATGACATTGCATTTTAGGATCTCCTGGTAAATTCTAGTCAGTTATTGCTACTTTGATTGTCGCCAAAGTATTGTTTTTTTTCTTACGTAAACGGTCAACCATTCCATCATTATTACTAATTTAACCTACACTCCCACAAGACTAAAAAAACATAAGCGTTATAATATTATTGCTTAGGCAACAATTGTGAAGCGGACGAAAATATCAAACTGCGGTTTTCCTGTTTTTAATGCAAATTTAATCTACTTTCCGGTTATGATTTCATAATTACCTCTTATAATGTTGCTTTAGAAAAACAATAATAATTGCAAACGCACTATCGTGTTCCGATTGATCCTAGAACTAGTCACACTTTTATGCCCTTCCAGGTATCTAAACTTTGGCATCATCATAAT